CCACGGGTTCAAGACCCGCCTGGGCAACTTGGTGAGACTTCATCTCTACAATAAATCAAAAAATTAGCCGGGCGTGGTAGAGTGCGTCTGTAGTTCCAGGTACTTGGAAGGCTGAGGTGGAAGAATTGCCGGAGCCCAGCAGGTTGAGGCCGCAGTGGCCTCTGCACTCCAGTCTGAGAAACGGAGTGAGACCCCAACTCAAACAAACAAAAAAAAGTCTCCAAATCCATCCAAGTTGCTGTGAAGTTCATAATTTTGTCCTTCAAAAGGGAGTTTTTAAATAACATCTGGCTCAGATGTTTCATATCTTTAAAGCGTTTTTGAAAAACCCATTTTTTTGAAAGGCAAAAATAACAATGTACATGGCTGGGCATGATGGCTCATGCCTAGAATTCCAGCACTTTGGGAGGCCAAGGCTGGAGAATTGCTTGAGCCCAGGAGTTTGAAATCAGCCTAGGCACACAGCGAGACCACAACTCTACAAAAAAATTACCCAGGCATAGTGGTACGTGCCTGTAGTTCCAGGTACTTGGAAGGCTGAGGTGTGAGGATTGCCTCAGCCTTCCAACCAGGAGGTCAAGGCTGTGGTAAGCCATGATTGTGCCACTGTACTCCAGTCTGAGCAATAGAATGGGATTCTGACTCAAAATAAAACAAAATAACGATGTACCAAAGATCAAATTCTACAATGATCAATGCTGTTATAATCCAAATAAACAAAACCACTGAACTACTTAGGTTAATCAATAAATTTCCTAGGGCAAATAGAAAGCACACATACTACCTTGGGCTCTGTTTACACTGAGCATAGGCTCATATCACTTGAAGTGCAAGGCTTATCTCTTGTCCTCCCGGTTATATATGACTGTATATATGTCCATGTATGACTATATGATCACAGCATGAGAGATGTGATCACGCAAAGAAACATGATGCAGTTTTAGTAGGAGCTGACATTGTTCACTTAGTAGCCAATCAGCCAACAAATATTTGTTAAGTTACTGTTGCCAAGCACTGTGGCAGTTAATGCAGATACATCAAAGATTTGATCTTTTCTCTGAAGGAACTTATAATCTAGTAGAAGAAACCAATAAGTATTTAAGCAAACAGCTCTTCTAACATTATCTTGTAATCACCCTCTATAATATCATCTCTTATCTCCCAGAAGATTATCTTCTAGGAGAGGATAACTTCTCCCTAGGAAGCGACCAAGTGAATCCTGAGGAATGAAGATACGTTAGATGAATAAGGATACTCATAGGTCCAGAATGAAGGAGGGCATGGTGCTCGGAGGGAACTAAAAGAAAGAAGAGATATAAAAAACAAATAAATAGATAAATACAGTATGTTCCCTACATACAAACGAGTTCCATTTCAAAAGCGCATTCATAAGTCCAATTTGTTCATAAGTCCAACAATAGTAACCTAGGTACCCAATGAACACAATCAGCTATACAGTACCAGCCATATCTCCGCTGCTTTTACGCTTGCTTCCAGACATCCTGGGCTTGAAATAAAGATATTGTACTCTGTACAGTACTCTGTAGTAAAGTACACAAAGCACAACCACTTGGAGAAGATGTACATGTGTGGCAACTTACGCCAGACATAAGACCTCACTTACATGATTGGTCATACAAATACACATTCACATCTTTGAAAGTTCACAACTTGGCTCCTTGCTGCCCGATCCCCGCCCGCCCAGCGTCCGCAAAAATGCCATCTCCAATGGAACATGCCATGGAAACCATGAAGTTTACATTCCACAGATTGGCTGGGGATAAAGGCTACTTAACAAAGGAAGAGCTGAGAGTACTCATGGAAAAGGAGTTCCCTGGGTTTTTGGAAAATCAGAAAGACCCTCTGGCCGTGGACAAAATAATGAAGGACCTGGACCAATGCCAAGATGGCAAAGTGGGCTTCCAGAGCTTCTTTTCGCTCATTGCTGGCCTCACCATTGCATGCAACGACTATTTTGTAGAACACATGAAACAGAAGGGAAAGAAGTAGACAGAACCGAGCAATGCCTCCCACCCTGCTAAGAGTTATCCCACAGGGTCACTGAAGGACTCTGCCCAAAGCTTTCCCCTTGTATAAGGATTCTGTGAGCAGATCAGGACCCTTAGAAAATGTACAAACAAAATCCAACTCCCATGTGACAAGCAGAGAAGAAAAGTTAATTGAAGGCCAGATAAGCTTTTGATTTTTGTATTGTTTGCACCCTCTTGCCCTCAATAAATAAAGTCCTTTTTTAGTTCTGGAAAAAAAAAGAAAAAGAAAGTTCACAACTTGAGGCCAGGCACAGTGGCTCAAGCCTATAATCCCAGCACTTTGGGAGGCCAAAGTGAGAGGACTGCCTGAGTCCAGGGGTTCAACACCAGCCTCGGCAACTTGACAAGACCTCATCTCAACAATAAATTCAAAAAAAATTAGCCGGGCCTAGTAGCATGTGCCTGTAGTTCTGTCTGCTTGGAAGGCTGAGGTGGAAAATCCTGAACCCAGCAGATCAAGGCTGCAGTGGCCATGAGTGTGCCACTGCACTCCAGCCTGGGTGACAAAGTGAGACCCCGGCTCAAAAAAAAAGTTTGTAACTTGAAAGTTTGCATGTAGGGAACTTTCTGTAACTAGATAGATGATAGATAGATAGATAGATAGATAGATAGATAGATAGATAGATAGATGATAGGTAGATAGATAGAAAGATAGATACAGACTGATTGATAAACGATACATGGATAAAATAAGTTTTTGAAATTTTTAAAAGAAAGAAAACTAGAAATCTGCAAACATCAGATCACAAAAGTTGTAGATAATGGGAGAAGACATTTCAAGGACATTAAGTCAGAAACCAACAATAGGGATGGTGATTGCAAGGTAATTGTTTCACACTGCTTCATAACACCAAAACATATTTATCTGTAGTCCTTCTTTGGGAAATAGACCTACTACACGCACTTACATTATTATTCAAATTCTAATCCATGTCTTGTATGTAGATTCCAACACTCATATGTAGTCTAGTCTCATTAAAGGAGCATTTCAGGACACTTGAAAATTAACTAGCCTCTGAGAGTTGTCCTGCCAAGCAAACCCAGGTGATTGATGGCAAATGCTTTCTACTTAAAATAGAGAAATCTTCTATTTACCTCCCAAACAGCTCATCAGACAAAAAGCGTTTAATCACATTACTGTGTTGTATTTCCCTTGTCAGACTTCACCATCTTCTTAGCAGACTACCCAAAGAATGAGAAAGACCAAAAACACCTCGCTGGACACCGTGGTGACAGAGTTCATTCTCCTGGGCTTGTCTCACCCACCTCATCTAAGAACCCTCCTCTTCCTGGTCTTCTTCATCCTTTACATCCTGACTCAACTGGGGAACCTGCTCATTCTGCTCACCGTGCGGGCTGACCCGAAGCTCCACGCTCGCCCCATGTACATCCTACTGGGAGTGCTCTCATTCCTGGACATGTGGCTCTCCTCAGTCATTGTTCCTCAAGTCATCCTAAACTTCACTCCTGCCAGCAGGGCCATCCCGTTTGGTGGCTGTGTGGCTCAGTTGTATTTCTTTCACTTCCTGGGCAGCACCCAGTGCTTTATCTACACCCTGATGGCCTATGACAGGTACCTGGCAATATGCCGGCCCCTGCGCTACTCTGTGCTCATGAATGGGAGGTTGTGCACAGTCCTTGTGGCCGGAGCTTGGGCGTCCGGCTCCATCCATGGGTCTATCCAGGCCACCCTGACCTTCCACCTGCCCTACTGTGGCCCCAGTCAGGTGGATTACTTTGTCTGTGACATCCCTGCAGTGTTGAGACTGGCCTGTGCTGATACAACTGTCAATGAGCTGGTGATCTTTGTGGACATTGGAGTAGTAGCTGCCAGCTGTTTCATGTTAATTTTGCTCTCCTGTGCCAACAGAGTCCACGCCATCCTGAAGATACGTACTGCTGACGGGAGATGCCGGGCCTTCTCCACCTGTGGTTCCCATCTGACCGTGGTCACAATCTACTACGTTCCCTGTATTTTCATCTACCTTAGGGGCTGGCTGCAAGAGTCCTCTGGATGGAGCAGTGGCTGTGTTTTACACTGTTGTCACTCCACTACTGAAACCCCTCATCTATACACTGAGGAACCAGGAAGTGAAGTCTGCTCTGAAGAGGTTAACAGTAGGGACTGTGAATGAAAATAAGTAACTGGCTGGGTGGGGTGGCTCAAACCTGTAATCCCAGCACGTTGAAAGGCCAAGGCGAGAGGACTGTCTGAGCCCAGGGGTTTGAGACAAGCCTGGGCAACTTGGTGAGACCTCATCAAAAAATCAGCTAGGCATGGTGGCAGGCGCCTGTAGTTCCAGCTACTTGGAAGGCTGAGGTGGAAGAATTGCCTGAGCCCAGCAGGGCGAGGCTGCGGTGACCGTGAGTGTGCCACTGCACTCCAGACGGAGTGACAGAGTAAGTCTCCAACTAAAAAAAAAAAGAAAAGAAAATAAGTAACTACACCAACATCATCATCACTACCACTCTTTCAGCTACCACTGCATGTGACAAATGCTCAACAAATAGATGTTGGTTTAAGCTGCATTGAATGTAATTCTACTAAGAAGAATCTCTCAGTGCTGTATTCAACCTCAATAAATTGTCCATAGTTGTTTTGCATTTGTCTGACTCATCCCTCAAGGGAAAGCACATATGTTGGCACTGAGGAATGAATGCTTTATCTGGAAAGGGGGAGAATTTTTCCAGGCAAATTCAGACAAAACCAGTATAATACTGCCCTGTCTCCATGTGCTTCACTCCTAATTTCTCAAGCTTCTAGGCATTTGGGATTCAGGAAGTTTTCTCTGATTCTCTCAGTCAGAATTGAGATTCTCCTCCCTGTATTTTTGTAGTCCTTTGAATTTTATATCACTTTTTTAGGCTGGACTGTATTACAGCTGAGATCAGAGTTTTAGAAGAAAGGAAAGCACATTTTGTTGGTGTTTGTGTTGTAATTCCCAATATCTACTAGTAACTGCTACGGTAGAAATGGCTCACTGACCACCAAAATCTTCTCTCTTCTTCTTTTTTTTTTTTCCCCAAGTCTAAATTTCACTCTGTCGCCCAGGCTGGAGTACAATAGCACGCTCATGGCCACCGCAGCCTCGACCTGCTGGACTCAGGTCATCCTTTCACCTTTGCCTTCCAAGTAACTGGAACCACGGGCACTTGCTACCACAGCTGGATAATTTTTTTGATTTATGATAGAGACGGGTCTCACAAAGTTGCACAGCCTGGTCTTGAACCCCTGGACTCAGACAATCCTCTCACCTCCATCTCCCAAAGTGCAGGGTTTACCGCCGTGAGCCACCGCACCCAGCTTATTCTTTTGTTATTCCCTAGTTTAAAAGATGTAACTGGAATGTGACTGCCTCTCTGTGGATATTTCCCAGTCCCTCTTGCAGCCAGGTGTACACATATCTAAGTTGTCCCAAATTGGAAATAAGAAGAATGTGTGTGTATGTGTGATACTTCCAGGCCTGGCCCTCAAAACTGGCGCATGAACTTTTCCACGTTCTTTCCCTCTTCTGAGCTAGACTAGCACATCATAGGGACCCACAAACAGTACCTTGTGACCAACTGAAGAAGAGTCATCTACAAACCTGAATCATTCACTTCAAACAATTTTTTTCTTTTTTTTTCTTATTATTATTTTTTATTTTAAAGATGTGGGGTACAATTCACGATTTGGTAAGTAAGTAGTCATTGTAACAGGTAAAGTTTGGGCCTCCCTTTGGTCCCCACTTTGCCTGATTTGAGATCAGGTACCCTTATTGATGTCATGTGCCCCACCCCTCCTTCCACTGGCAGTGTCCCACGACTGCCAATCCCTTTCTTATAGTATTATGGTAAATGTTCAGGGTCCACTTAGGTGTGAGAACATGTGGTACTCAGTTCTTTGTTTCTGTGATAGATCACTAAGTATTATAGACTCTAAATCCATCCAAGTTGCTACAGAGTCCATAATTGTGTCTTTCTTTATGGCTATGTATATATGTACCACATTGATTTTTATCTTGTCCATTCACTTTAAAATTTTAAGTGAGAGGGAAATAAACCTCTAACTTCTCTAATCCAGTGATTTATTATTGGGGTACCTTGTTACAATAAAGTTTTAATCCACTGATTTATTGTTGGGCTACTTTGTTACCTCGTCCTAATACTTAACCAAATCAGCTTTTTTTTTTTAGTTAAAACAGCACCAAGAAAGTCTTTTTAGGTGCATTTAAATTGTCCAGAGCATACAGAAAAACATTTGCTTAATTATCATAATGCCAAAGAGACAAAGATCTGGAAGTCACCCAGCCAGTCATTCAGTGGACCAATCAGTCAATCATGCAATGTCCTCTGATCAGGCCAGGTTGATACAAATAACTTTTGCCTTATCCTCTGCAACCTGTCCTGGTCTGACCTGGAGGAACAAGAAAGCACTGAAAAGAATTTGGGAACAGAAGACTCAAGTACAGGAAAGTATAATAGCAAGTTCAGTAGCTCCTTCCAGAAAATGAAAGACAAAAAAAAAAAGTATCCTTTCATTTATCAATAGTTTTTTTACTCAACTAGATGTGAGGGGTCATGTTGGCCTAATTTTAATAGTAAGATAAAATCAAAGATTGCAAAAAATAAGAATATTTAGGTGTGAGACAAAGGAAATAAGCATGAACATCAATAAAAATACATATTTTAAGGAGAAAAAATCTAACAGTGAGATCATAAGATTTATTTATAACTTCTTCCATAAGAAGAAGCCTTTCAAAACAACTTCTAGGTCTATAATAATTTATTGTTTTCAGACCAGGCATGGTGGCTCACACCTGTAACTCCAGCACTTTGGAAGGCAGAGGAGAGAGGATTGCCTGAGGCCAGGGATTTGAGACCAGTCTGGGTAACCTGGTGGGACTTCATCTCTACAAAAAAATCAAAATATTAGCTGTGTGTGGAAGCGCGCGCCTGTAGTTCTGGCTACTTGGAAGGATGAGGCAGAAAGATTGCCTGAGCCCAGGCTGTGGTTGTACCACTGCACCCCAGCCTGGGCAACAGAGTGAGATGCTGCTCAAAAAATAAAAATAAATAAATAAAAACAATTTACTGTTTTCATAGCCAATCTTTTTTATTGAAACATAATAGATGTACATATTTTCAGGATGCATGTGGTAATTTAATGCATTCATATAATTTGTAAAGATCAAATCACATTGTGATATCCATGACCTTAAATATTTGTCTTTTCCTTATGCTAGAAATATTCAAATTCTTCTCTTCTGGCTATTTTATTTATTTTATTTTACTTTATTTTATTTTATTTTGAGTTAGAGTCTCACTCTGTCACCCAGACCAGAGTGCAGTGGCATGCTCCCAGCCGGCGCCGCAGCCTCGACCTGCTGGGCTCTGGCGATCCTTCCACCTAAGCCTTCCAAGTACCTGGAACCACAGGCGCGCGCTACCACGCCCAGCTAATTTTTTGATTTATTGTAGAGATGAGGTCTCGCCAAGTTGCCCAGGCGGGTCTCGAACCCGCGGGCTCAGGCAATCCACTCACCTCAGCCTCCCAAAGGCGCAGGATTACAGGCTGAGCCACCGAGTCCGGTTCTTCTAGCTATTTTAAAATATGAAATAGAATATTGTAAACTACAGTCATCCTACTGATCTCTCAAGTATTAGGTCTTATTTCTTCTATTCAACAGTATATTTGTATCCATTAATCAACCTCTCTTCACTCCCCCTCCTCTCCTCCACATTTCCCAGCCTCTGGTAACCGCAGATTGACCCCTATCTTCATTAAATCCACTTTTTTTAGCCCCCACATATGAGTGAAAACATGCCATATTTGTCTTTCTGTGGTTGGCTTACTTAGCATAATGACCTCCAGTTCTAACCATGGAACTGGAGCTGGCCCCCAGAATGCATTCATGCTGCAAATGATAGCATTTCATTGGGTTTTTTTTTTTTTTTTTTTGGACTGGATAACATTCTGTTGTGTATATATGCGACATTTTCTTTACTCATTCATTCATTGATGGGCACTTAGGTTGAATGCATATCATGACAATTGGGAATAGTGTCACAGTGAACATGGAGGTGAAGATATTTCTTCAATATATTGATTCCTTTCTTTTGAGTATATATCTAGTAGTTAAATTGCTGGATCATATAATAGTACTATTTTTAGTTTTTTTAGGAACCTCCATATAGTTGTCCATAGCGGCTGTACTAATTTATATTCTCACCAACAGTGTACAAGGATTCCCCTTTCTCTATATTCTCACCAGAATCTGTCATTCCCTGCCTTTTGAAAAAAGCCATTTTAACTGAGGTGAGATAATGTTGTGGGGCTTTTTAAATTTTTTATTTTAAAGATGTGGGGTACAATTCAGGGTTAGGTATACAAATGTCCACTATGCAGGTACCCTTGTTGATGAGGTGTACCCCGCTCCCTTGGCAGTTTCTCACTACTGCCAATACTTTTCTTTGAGTATTACAATAGTTGCTCAAGTTTTTTGTGTCTGTGATAGATCACTCAGTATTATAGACTCTAAGTTCACCCAACTTGCTGCGAAGTTCATAATTTTGTCCTTCTTTATGGTTGCATAATATTCCATCATGTGTATGTGCCACATTTTTTTATCTAGTCCTCTTTCATTGGGAATATTGTGGTTTTTATTTGCATTTCTCTGATGATTAGTGATGTTGAGCATTGTTTTTTTCATATACCCATTGGCTATTTGTATGTCTTCTTTTGAGAAATGTCTATTCAGATCTTTTGCCCACTTTTTAATCAGATTATTTGGGGTTTTGTTGTTTTTGAGTTGTTTGAGCTCCTCATATATTCTGGTTGCTAATTCCTTGTAGACAATAGTTTACAAATTTTTTTCCCCATTTATGTATTGCCTCTTCACTTTGCTGATTGTTTCCTTTGCTGTGCAGAGCTCTTCAGCTTGACACAACCCCATTTATCTATTTTTGCTTTGGTTATCTGTACTTTTCAGGTCTTACACAAAATACCTTTGCCCAGACCAATGTCCTAAAGAATTTTTCCAATTTTTTCTTCCAGTAGTCTCATGGTTTCAGATCTTACATTTGAGTCTTTAATCCACTTTGATTTGATTTTTGTTTATGGTGAGAGAGAAGGGTCTAGTTTCATTCTTCTGCATATGGATATCTAGTTTTCTCAGCACCACTTATTGAAGAGATTGTTCTTTCCCCATTGTAGGTTCTTAGTGCCTTTTTCATAAATGAGTTTTTTTTTGCAAATGCTTTGATTTCTATCTGGGTTCTCTATTGTCTTCCATTTGTCTATGTGCTTATTTTTATGCCAGTACCATGCTGATTTGGTTACTACAGCTTTGCAATATATTTTGAGGTCAGGTAGTGGAATGTCTCCAGCTTTGTTCTTTTTGCTCAAGATGGATTTAGCTATTAAAGTTCCTCTGTGTTTCCACATAAATTTTAGGGTTGCTTTTTTCTAATTCTGTGAAGAATGTAATTGGTATTTTGACAGGGATTGCATT